AACACAATTGGGTTCAAGTTTCAGCTCAACGTATTGTCCAAATGACCCGATCATGTTTCTAAACCTCTCCACGATTTAATTTCTTTATGTGGAAAAGTGGCCACCTTAGAGGACTGACAGAGTCTTAAATTCCCGGTACAAATTAATCCCTCAATAAGTTGTTGCCATTATAATGATAACTGTTTGTATCCCTGCTTTGAGTAAGACACAGGTTGGGTGTTATATATGCGTTATATCCAATTCTTGAAGTTCTATTATTGTTGTCAACTTACAGATAAGAACATGAAGGCATAGAGGGTAAGGCTTATACCAGCCGACTCAGCGTGCAGTAGCTCAGTTGAGAATTGAAACTCTGTGTTTCTGGCACAAAATCCTCTCCCAGTTAGTCTGCTGAACCATAAATGTCCTTTTTAGTGCTTTTGTGAACATTTACTGATCACTTAATACGTGCCCAACATTGTTTGAAGTGTTATATTTTGTCTTTTAAAAAAATTTTTTTTTCAACGTTTATTTATTTTTGGGACAGAGAGAGACAGAGCATGAACGGGGGAGGGGCAGAGAGAGAGGGAGACACAGAATCGGAAACAGGCTCCAGGCTCCAGGCTCCGAGCCATCAGCCCAGAGCCCGACGCGGGGCTCGAACTCACGGACCGCGAGATCGTGCCGTGGCTGAAGTCGGACGCTTAACCGACTGCGCCACCCAGGCGCCCCGTATTTTGTCTTTTAAAATTCTCACACAAACCATGAGATAGGTCCAGTTAATCTCAGTTAAAAACAAAACAACAACAAAACAAAACAAAACAAAACACCTGAGGCACAAAAGTCATTCCTGTGTCCAAGGTCTCAAAGGTGGTAAGTGGGAAGGCCAGGACCTCAGAGCTCTCCTTGCATCCCTTACACATCAGTGATGGACGCACCCCTATTATGGAGCACGTACTGCACCCCAGACTGGGATCTGGAAGCAAGAGATACAGCTGTTACCAAACAGATAAGACCCTGACTGTCCTGGAGCTTACATGCGAGTGGGAGGAGACAGACACACAAGTGTACATGTAATATGTCACATGATGTTCAGCCCTTTGGAGACATTTCAAGTCAAGTAAAAGTGATTGTAAGGGTTGAGGAACAGCTTAGGGCTTTCCATACAGTCGCCAAGGATGGCTCGTGGATTCAGTGATATTCAGAAAAGACTGAAACTGAGCCCTCATGGAATCAGGGGAACAGCCTGCCAGATTAGTGAAGAGCAGTGTAAAACCTGGATGAAGGACTATGCTTGGTATGCTTAAAGAACCACAGGTGGGCCCACGTGTCTGCAGTAGAGTGAGGGGACTAGAGTGGGGGCAGGTGACGTCAGGGTGAAGGGTGATAAGGGTCCTCTGGGCAATGGTAAAAATATTGTATATGAAGGAAATGGACAATTAGCAGACTGTTGAGGGGTACGATCATTCGTACCAGAGGCTACATACCAGCACACAGAAGATCCCAGCAGATACGAAGTCTAGTTAGATGACTGCAGTTTGTGCCAACGAAGGGACTGCCTACTTGTATTAAAGGGGAAATGGCAACAAACACACAAACAGGAAACAGCCACATATCCATAGATGGAAGGATAGGATATTTTGAAGTTTCCAGGACCTGCCATCGATTGAGCCAGGACTGTGACTTAAGAGACAAGTCAGGGTCCCATCGACACAAGGAATGAAGTCACCATTTAGGGGGATCAAGAAAACTGAGGGAGGAAAAGCTTTGGAGGGAAACCATGAGAGACTTACTGGAGACACATAAAATATCAACACACAGGAGTTTAACAAAGAGTAAGCATGTGACTTCTATGGAAAAAGGAGCTTGTACCAGACAAAACACTTACTTATGCAGACATCAAGTGACCCAAATCTCAGTAAACACATTTTTATTCCTCACTCGTACTACGTGGCCACCTTGGGGCTGCTGAGGCTCTGCTCCAAGTTGCCTTGATCCTGAGACCCAGGCTGACAGAGCAGACGGGTTAACACTTTGCCAGTCTCATGGCAGAAGGCAAAGGCGCGATGAATCATGCACTCGCTCATAAAGCTTTTCCTTAGAGGTGACCAACATAATTTCCATTCTCATTCCATTGGCCAGAGCAAGTCCCATGGTCAGGTCTGACATGTTTGTAGTGGAGATATGTAATTGTCGTCTAGAGGAGACGGGAATACTAACTCAATCTACCTCAGGGATAAAGGATATAAAATATGGGCAATGTCTGCATGAAGAAACTAGCTGAAGCTGTAAGTCTGGGTATCACCAAGAAGGTAATTGTAAGAAAGCAGAGAAGTCTGATGTGTGGGGTGCTCCAGGTTTCAGAGGTCCAGATAAATCAGAAAAACAGTCTGTGGTGAAGTTGTCAATAATGTAGGAGAAGAGAGATGGGTGTCCCGGATGCCAAGTGAAATAAATGCTTCAATAATAAAAGATTGATCAACAGTGTGCCGATCAAATACACTGAGGACAGAGAATTGACTGTTGTATTTATAAATGTTCAAGTTATCTGTCACTTGGAAATAAGAATCTCTCTAGAATGTTGGGGATGAAACTCTGGTTCAGGTGGGTTCAAGAGTAAATGGGAGGGGAGGAAATGGAGCATAGACCACTCGCTCAAGGAGTTTTACTGTATGTAACACAGTACAGTGTCATCAATAAGATGCCCTGCCCCGTCAATGGCAGGAAGAGGCTGCAATCAAATCAGCAACCCAGACCAATAGAAGCCTCTAGTTCTTAAAAAAAAAAGAACAGATGTCATAAAAACATCAGCAGGTATTCATTTTGTGAACTCACGGAAGACAGAAGAAATAACCAGAGTAACACTTGGGAAAGAACACTTCTTTTCTTAAAAGGGAAACGTGTTATCTATGTTTTCATTTCAATTCATTCATATTGACACCAGATGGTGTTATAATAAATCATTCCTTTACTTCCCTGAACAACAATCTTCTTTCTTCTATGTTCCTTCCTGAGACTTCATTTTTCCTTCAGAAAGAGTATGAATTGTTGCCAGTTCAACTGTACATAAGCCCTAGACTGCAGGGAATTGAAGAACTGACTCTTTGTCACTGCAGTACATTTACTATCCCATGTCCCATATGAAATATTTGCCTCTGATGCTAAGTGAACACATTAAATCAACTCATCTTTCAAGCCCTGTGTACATTTCTTGTCTCCATTCCTCTTTCTATAGAATCGGTGACCATATTCTGGATTTTGGTTGTCACAAGTATGATGACTTTCTCCACAGCTGGACAGCTTGCACCTCACACCAGGGGTCAGGCTTGGTGACATCAGCACCTGTACGTTATCGTGCAGTCATCAAATACTTAGGTGCTTAAGAGATAATGTGTTAGCCATCATTTACTTACCAGGAGACCTCTCTCATTTTTGTTCTCACATTTTCTTCTTCTCTCTAGATGATGATGATGATGATGATGATGATGATGATGTGAGAAAGTATTTCCTCAGTTATCTGAAAAATATTTTTCCTATACATATGAGATAATTATTATTGTGAAGGCAGTTGACTCTTGATTATCAGGCATATGAGACAATCATAGTATCTGTGCACTGGGCATCAAAATCACAGGTGAAGTGTAATCTGCGATTGTTGTTCCCAAACATGCAAAGGTTTACCAGAAATCAGAGACAAAGTAGCCATATGTGTTTATTAATTATTTCAGAAATGACTCTGCAGATCATAAAACTAGAGCGATCAAAATAAGTAGAATTTGATATTATAGAAATGATTTGATAATTAAAATCATTTAGTTTGGATTAATGACATAGCAATTTGATCATGTTTCGGCAGGCAGAGATTGAAGACCAAAAGAATGAAGTAATTAGACTTTAATAAATTCAGTCATGGTATAAACCATTACCAGGATGTGCCAAACACAAATGTTTTTATTATTGTGAGGGGCACGTGGGTGGCTCAGTCAGTTGAGCATCCGACTTCAGCTCAGGTCATGATCTCAAGGTTCATGAGTTCGGGCCCCATGTTGGGCTCCGTGCTGACAGCTCAGAGCCTGGAACCTGCTTCGGATTCTGTGTCTCCCTCTCTCTGCCCTTCCCCCAGTCTCTCTCTCTCTCTCTCTCTCTCTCTTTCTCAAAAATAAACATTAAAAAAATAATAAAAAATGGCTTGTTATTGTAAACATACACCTGAGTTTTCCACGTAATCTATTTAATAGCGATGAAACATCTACAAAAATTTGAAACTGTAAAACCGTTTATTACGGTCGTGTCTTTCTAGATATAGAATGTAAGGTTGTGTTTTAGTGCGTATACTGCTTAACTCTTCACAAGTCAATATTATATCTCTCTTGAGACTTCAGTATTTGGGCCCGAGAACTGTGGACTGCTACATCCGTTAAGTACCAAGTGATGCACACTTGACACTAAGTGGCTTCCGGCTTCCACATTCTCCAACCATTCTTCTGAACGAGAACGGATCAGCGGTAAGCCAGTCCTGCTTTCCTTTTCAACACTTAGGCTGGATGCTAGGAAAACTTATATGCCTTTCAAGGGAGGTTAGACTCAAGCCCTTACGCTACCAAGGTGGGTTCCAAGTAGCTGCTGTCAGTGTTTAAATGTTTCCCTTCCGGGAACAGAAAGCAAGACCCCAACTCCATGCCCTTCAGAGAAACAGATTCATCAGCATAAACCCTTGGTGTTGCCAGTACTGGACTTCAGTGCATTAAATGGACATCTCAGTTAGACGCTTCTCACAGGGAAATATATGGGGCAATACGAAAAAGTGAGCATTTGGTATAACCCATGAACGTTTATGAAATCCGTGATTCGTATGAAATAAATAGCAACGACAACCTAAAATGTAGTCCGTGCAGGGTTAAAGTTGCATGCATATGTAGGCGGGTAGTGGCAATAATTATTAAATACCTTTTACTGAATATTTATTTTTCTGACATTGAACCTATATATGTATTTACTTTCTCTCAATTGTGACAGAGCTACATAGATATTGTATAGTCTTAATTTTTCCAGGAACTTAAAATCTACATGGAAGAAAATCTTCTCTTCGTACAAAGTTTTACCATGAACTGGACAAATGCTTTGACCAAATCCTGTAAGTAAAAAGAGCAGCTTCAAATAACAGGGATATTAGAAATTAGATTTTTACAAATGTTTGTTATTGAAGTATAGAGGAAATGTAGTTTCGGGTGTACCACATAGTGATTCGACAAGTGCGTGCATTATGCAGTGCCTGTCACCACCTGTCACCATACAAGACATTGTTACAGTATTGTGGACTATCTTCCCTACGATGTACTTTTCATTCCTGCGACTTATTTTTTTATGTAAATTTTTTATGTTTATTTATTTTTGAGAGAGAGGAAGACAGAATGCTAGCAGGGGAGTGACAGAGAGAGGGAGACACAGAATCGGAAGCAGGCTCCGGGCTCTGTGTTGTCAGGGCCTGACGCAGGGTTTGAACCTACAGACTGCGACATCATGACCTGAGCCAAAGTTGAACGCTTAACCAACTGAACCACCCAGGTGCCCCGCATTCCTGTGACTTAGCTACTTTACCACTGGAAGTTTGCACCTCTTCATCTGCCCGTCCCCCGCAACCTCCTCTCTGGCAACCACCAGTTTGTTCTCGGTATTTATGAGCCTGTGTCTGTCTTGTTGTTGTTGTTATTGTTTTTCAGAAGCCACCTATAAGTGAAATCATATGTATCATATGTATTTCTCCGTCAGACTTAAGAAATCAGATTTTTATTGAATTGAAACCCACGGCCAAACACAAGTTCCATAAACTCAAAATAGAGCCACCGCCTAGAGAGTTCCCAAGACCACCCCTAGGAAGACTCCGGACTCGCCTGGCGCACCAGGTCTGCACCTGTTGCTAGGGCGGCTCGTCCTGAAGGAGGACTGAGGGCTGACTCAGCAGCGGCACAGAGCGGGGGCGAGACAGAGTAGACCCCCTATTGAAGGGAAGGCCAGCCCCACACCAGGAGCTGCCCCTGCAGGGGTGGGACTGAGGCTCCCGGTGCAGGTTCGCCGGCCCTGGGGCAGAGAGAAAGCTGTGGTTTGAAGGAGCAACTAGAAGCTAAAGGAATCAGCCTGGAAGGAACGCTGCCGGAGGGAGCTGCTGGAAGTCTTCCGGGCCTGAGGGGCTGCAGTGGGCAATGCTCACCCACAGCTGCACCTGGTTAGCGCTGCTCACACACACCTGCACCTGGTTAGAGCAGACTCAACAGGTCCGGGCGTCCTGGTCCTGCAGCCTCAGCGAGCCTGGGCCCCTCGCACACACCCTCCTAGTGAGCCCCCCGGGCGGCCCCGGGGCAGCACACAGAGGGACACGCCAGGGCAGCGCTCGCTACAGCTCCGGTCCTCTCACCAAGGTGACACAGGTGCACAGCACCCCGGAACGTTCCAGGCCCGCACCACCTCGGCTCCAGACCCCCTGCCCCACTCCCCCGACCCCGGGGGAGGGCTTTCCCTGCACAGAATGCTCCAGAATCTCTTGGCTCCTGCCTACCTTAGCTCCAGAGGAACCGTGCCCTCTCCTTATTCATTGAGACGTGTTCTGGACAGAACTGGAGAGAGAATTTTCAAGAGCAAGAGAGCCTGATTTGGGAGTGAATCATGAAGGAACATTTGATCAGACTTCCAGCTTAGGGTGTCAGACTTTTTCAAGCAACTCTGGGCATGAGGAGAAAGGGATGTAAGAGTCCCCTGACGGCAGCGCACCGGCCGACACTGAGGTGACCAGCGACATATGTGCAAGACCAATGTACGGCCAAGTGTAAGGTTACTCAGACCGTAGACTGCACAAGAAGACTTTCTCACAATCCTTTTTCTTTTTCATTTTATACCTTGCCTGGGGCAAGGGTCTTAGCTTCTCTGAGCCCCACTTTTTGAATAATGAAACCTCCCTCACAAGGCTGTCGTGAGTAATGACTGGTCTGATTGCAGATCCAAAGGGCAAGTCCTAAAAACAACTTCTGAATAAAGAAGGCAAGTGGCTTCTCAGCAAGGCAATGGGAAACACGCGTATCTTCCTCGACTGCCTTGGAGCTGCCCAGACTGGTGGCCTTGACCTGAGCATTGGCCACTTTACTCTTGCAAACCATCAAAGATGGAGATAAGATCTTCAGCAGAAAACCCATCTGTGCAAGTGAACAGAAGAATGAGATCATTCCCACTCTACAGTTAAAGGTAAGAGGATCCCATTCCATAGCAAGTCTCACTTACACACACGGATAAGGAGCAGACAAGGGTACTAATCCTCTCTGTCTGGGACTTTACCGTGCATGACCAAAATGCATCCTAAATACAGACATGGATAGACGTAGATAGAACACATCCGTAAGAGAATCGATCCTTTTTCTACAGCTGTATTGAAAATGTCCTTTAAGAAATACGGAAGAGCTAAGATGTTATTTCAGACTTATAACTATACCTTATCAGATTTTAAGAAGAGCAAGTATGACAGAAATTCAAAATATAAATTGATGTTTTTTAATTACTTATGAGAAGATAGAGGTGTATAAAGACATTATTCTAAGCCTGGAAATTTCTAATATTCATTTGCAAACCTGCACTTATATATGCCTAAATTTAAGATCATAGATACACCGTGAGCATTACTGTAATTATGATGTTCTTCAGGGAAGCATTAAAACTCAGTCTAACACTTTATAGTGCACAGCATTTTCTAAGAGTTTGAAAAGGCACTCATAAATGCAAATTCAGAAGTTCTGGGTTGTTCTGTACTTATTTTTTATCTTTACAACTAGATGAGTTTAAAAGTAAGGAGTAGCAAGTGAATACAGTTTTCCCACAGAAACGCCTTGGCTATTACGGGGTCCTTTATACTAAAAGCTTTGGAAAGGCAGTATTTTAGCTTTTTATGTTTCTCACATTAATTGCTACTTCTATGCACTGTAACACTCTTAACTAGGTTTGTGATTTATTTTTAAAGAAGAATTCATTTTGAAATTATGATCTGAAAAGTCCTTTGGTTAAGGATTTTTATAGTGTTGACTTAAACGGCAATGACAGATCTGGACCATGTGTAAAACACAGCTCAGGGCTAAAAGGTGTAATCACAGGGATGCTAGAAATAAGAAGATAGTCCATAAGGTCAATTGCACTATCTCATCAAAGTTTGCATTACAATAAAATTGTTTTGCTCCTGTTTTTAAATTAAATATAAGGAGCAACACAGGACCCTATTTTTACTAATCGAGAATTGCACATTTGAAGTCAACATAAGACCTGTTTCCCTGGCTTGGATGAGGGTAAGTTTCCATACTCTTTACCCTGCCTTTGCGTGAGAGAATAAAATTGAGCAATGAGTTGTCCCGAATCCTGTATTGCAGGAGCAGACGGGGATGTGGTACAGCTGTGAAAAAAATAAACACAAATTATCCAGAGGCATGTACCAAACCACAAACTCTGGCAAAAGGAAATGACAGGGCTCTACTTGTTAAAAAGGGTATAGTTGGGGAGTGCCTGTCTGGCTCAGTTGGAAAAACGTGAGAGTCTTAATCTCAGAGTTGTGAGTTCAAGTCCCACTTTGGGTGTAGAGACTACTTTAAAAAACAAAACAAACAAACAAACAAAAACCTTGCCCCCCCCCCCCCCCCCCCAAAAAGGTGCAGGTAAAGGTTGTTTGCAAATCGTTTTGTTTTTCAAGTCAATTTCAAGTATACTTCAGAGTTTGATGTTTTAAAGGAACCTCCTTTCTACTGGACACTGCAACACTAAAGCATGGTACTGATTTTATTTCCTGGGATTATGGTGCTGGTGGTAATTGCTTAGATCTTGACTTTCCCTGAATGCACTTCACTTCACAGCCCCAAGGTCCCCTTCTGTGCTGAATGCCTAGTGGGAGAACCCCAATCTTACCCCCTCACATAACCAGACAATTTTGAAGACCTTTACCTGAAATTCTCACGGTAAATTAACATGTGCAGAAATGAATTTACTGTCTTTGTCCCGCCTATAAAACTTACGTGATTAGGGGCGCCTGGGTGGCGCAGTCGGTTGAGCGTCCGACTTCAGCCAGGTCACGATCTCGCGGTCCGCGAGTTCGAGCCCCGCGTCAGACTCTGGGCTGATGGCTCAGAGCCTGGAGCCTGTTTCCGATTCTGTGTCTCCCTCTCTCTCTGCCCCTCCCCCGTTCATGCTCTGTCTCTCTCTGTCCCAAAAATACATAAACGTTGAAAAAAAAAATTAAAAAAAAAAAAACTTACGTGATTAAAGGTCACCAGTACCCATCAGATAACCTTACATAAATCACTCTCTTTATTAAGAAAGGAAATCTACTCAACTGATCCCACCTGCTCCAACTACTCTGAAAGTCGCTTAGTCCTCTCTTGAGTCACAGCGCCCCCTGGGGGGGGGGGTGTCAGGGCTAGGTACCTGACCTAAGCGCTGCACCTCCTCCTCCAACCGCCCCCCCCCGCCCCCCCTCCAGCTATAAGTGCGCATGTCTATGGAGGTGAGGGATAAGGGTGGAGGGTAAGAGGGCTGGAAGTCCCAAACACCCTTGGGGTTTTCCCGGAAGGCTTGGGAAACCGAACCTTTGTCTTCTGGAATGGGCATGTAAGCCTGGAATGGCTGAGCACTACAGGACGTGGAGCCACGGGCAAGTTAGCGAGGACACAGCCTCCTGATGATACATTTCAGTCTCCTGGATCTCCACTTACAAGGAGCTAGAAATGTCCCTGGAATTCAGTCCATTGCATGAGCCCTTGTGTAACATAAGCTCTTCTCCATTGTTTTGTCACTCGCAGTGAAGGAAGACCAGCCCGTACACACCCCAGTTGTTGTTTTTTGCTTTCTCCCCTTCACTTTCCTGAGAACGTGGACTTCAGGTGACCAGTGGGTGGGTCTTAGTCATCTTTGTATCTACAGTACTTAGCCAGCTCTGTCCCTCGAAGGAGCTCAAGGTTTGCTGATGGAGAGAGTGAATGAACACATTTTCAAAAAGAATTAAGTTCACAGAAATGAAACGAAACAAGACCATTTCCTCATGGTTAATTCATGCTAGAGAATGATTTGATTCTTGAGTCTCATGCTATATTTTACGAATGTATGAAAATTCATGTTTCACCTCTGAATAATAAAGGTAGGAGTTTGAAGTGAGAGAAAGTAGTGCACGGCAACATGACATCGCATCTCATAAAATAGGATTCTGATCAGACATTCCATTTAAAATCCCATTCAATGAAAGTCATCACTGGTGTGGGGGCACCTGGGTGGCTCAGTCGGTTGAGAATCCTACTCAGTTTCAGCTCAGGTCAGGATCTCCAGACCGTGGCATCCACACTGGGCACACAGCCTGCTTGAGATTCTCCCTCTCCCCCTCCCCTGCTCATTGTCTCTCTCTCTCTCTTTCTCTCTCTCTCTCTCTCTCTTTCTCTCTCCCTCTGTCAAATAAATAAATGACTAAACAAACAAAACAAAACAAAATTGGTATGAAGATCTTGGGAAATAGACCTGTTGGTCCTGTCAGAACCACAAGTAAATTAGGAAAGACAAGACTGTTAGTTACTTCTGGTTTGTTGCTATAGATACAATTATAGCTGTAAAACTTCAGTCCTCGGGGGCTCTGGAAATTGGGGTTATAAACCGTGTCATGAAATTCCCATCTCTCAGTGCTCTTTATGCTTCAGTCACCTTACCCATGTTTAGAAATTCTAAAGGATGGGATTGTTCTAAGGTCTTGAGTTGGACTCTTACATTCTCCCATGTTCTGTCATCTCTAGTTCTCCTGTTCTAAAACCGTCTTATTCCAGCTCTTCTGAGTATTAATTTTATTACTAAATCCTAAACTGCTCTTATTTGAAAGACAAATTGTAAGCCTGTGTTTGTCTAGAAGTCCCAAATTTTTGTAGCGTAGACAACGTAGTCTTTTTGGTTCTTGTGTAAGAAATGCTTTGTCTATCCTAGTAATATCAATGTCTGTTTGGGTGTTCTTGTAAAAGTTTTAAAGATATACTTTGACATATTTAGGTTTTATCGTATAATTTGTCATCCAAACCTGGATATCTCTGTTAGTGAAAGGCGGTAATAATTATTCTAGAGTTGCAGGTGTAAACTGGGACTGATCTGAGAAAAGCAAAATATATAGTCATCCTTTTTTAATTCATCAGGACTTGATATTTTGGAAAAGAGGCATCAAAATAAAATTCACCAACATAGGCAATTCTCCCATATGATCTTTTGAATATTCTTTCTTCAGTGATCTCAATGATACTACACCATAAATGAAGTTCCATGTATGTGGAACTTTTCTTATGCTTTATTCTTTTGGTTATCCATTTTCTTAATTATTGTACCTTTGTAAGGATTCTGTATGTAGTAGGAGAATCTCTTGACTTTATTATCTTTATTCAAAAAAATTCTTGGCTAATCTTAACTCTTCTCTCTTCCATGTAAAGTTTAGATCTAGCTGGCCAAATTGCACATACAAGGAAAAAAAATCTATTGGGATTTGTTTGGAATTGGATAAATGTGTAAAAAACACATTTATGAGAAGAAATAAATCACACAAACTTTTCCTATCTGTGAATATGGTGCATCTCTCTATTTAGGTCTTATCGGATGATTTTCAGTATTTTTATACATTTCTTCATAATGAGCATGCACATTTTTTGCTACACATTTAGAACTAGGTACTGAAGTAAGCTTGTTGATTTATTTTTTGTGATTTCTCTTACTAAGTTGTGTGCCTTATAAGTTAATTTTCACAATGTTGGTTTCTAATACTTAGGGATAAAATTGAATTTGGCAAATTAGTCATATATACAGAACATCAGCTGAATTCTTATAAGAACTTTGTCTCATGTGAGTTGTTAGTATTCTTTATATATTCTGTGTTCAGGTCCTCTATCAGATATATGTTTCACAGATATTTTCTCCCAGTCTGTGGCTTGACTTTGTTTCTTAACAGTATTTTTTAAAGACTGGAATTTTTATTTTTGACAAAATTGCAAACTTTTTAAATTTTATGGGTCATGATTTTTGTGTTTAACCAAAGTTTTACTTTTTTTTTTTTTTTGTCTAGGAACATACATCATTATAGTTTTGGCTGTTATATTTAGGTCTGTGAACCATTGAGAGTTAACTTTTTTTTTTAACTGAAGTCATATCATTGAACACATATCATTGTTTACTCCATTTATTAATTATATGGTTTTGGAAAATTGAGGATGACAATGCAAACCTCAGGTGGTTGTTAATAATGATATCATGCGATAATGCTTTGGAAACTCAGTCCATCACTAGGCAGACATTAAGTGCTCATTAACCAGTTGCTATTTGGTTACTTGTAGATGAGTTTGCAGAACATACATTGAACATACTGAAGCTAAATGTATGTCACTTCATCTTATATAAAACTTAATCCATGTAGCTAATCACTTCCATGATTTATATATTTTGTAACTTAATACTATTTTTCAGTAAACTATAGTCTTTTTAAATTTTTTTCAACGTTTTTTATTTATTTTTGGGACAGAGAGAGACAGAGCATGAACGGGGGAGGGGCAGAGAGAGAGGAAGACACAGAATCGGAAACAGGCTCCAGGCTCTAGGCTCTGAGCTGTCAGCACAGAGCCCAACACGGGGCTCAAACTCACAGACCTCGAGATCATGACCTGAGCCGAAGTCGGACACTCAACTGACTGGGCCACCCAGGCGCCCCTCAGTAAACTATAGTCTTAAAAGAAGCATCTCTTCACCAACATCTATTTTTTAATGACATAATGTATAAAAATCACTTTTTTGAGTATTTTAATGAAAATGCTATTTTGCTATACCCAGTGATATAGTATCAAGTAAGTACAAAAAATGGTAAGTTTGGTGGGAAAGCAAGTCTAAAGAGAAATGCAGTTTCTTTCTTATGTTTTTGTCATAAAAGCTGTTAAAAAGACAACATTTGCATCCACGGTACTTGGAGGCCTTTAAGAATTGGGTATTGGGGCACCTGGATGGCTCATTCGGTCAAACGTCCAACTCTTGATTTTGGTTCAGGACATGATCTCAGGGTTCGTGAGTTTGAGCCCTCCATTGACCTCTGCCTGACAGCGTGGAACCTGCTTAAGATTCTCTCTCTCTCTCCCTCGCTCTCTCTCTCTCTCTAAATAATTAAATAAACCTAAAAAAATAATTGGGTATTAGGAATCACTAAACAGTTAAAAATAAATCATAATAGTATAGTACTTACATTCTCCTTTTTGTGCTCACATGATAGACACTTGAGCTATTTAGAACCCATGGGGGAGATAACAAAGGAATTTAAAAATTTGAAACACACAGTACTTAAATTAACATTTTACTCTATTTGCCAAATATTTATTATAAGAAGTGAAAACCCAAAAAGAAACTACAGACCATAGTATTTATCACAGATTCTACTGTTAGTCTGGAAGGTGATCAGCTTTTCCATGGGTTGGTTCCACTGGTAGGAATTAGGACTTGTGCAATGCAATCCAGCCCCAAGCAGAAAGCACCCATGTGTGGCTTTCCTAAGACTCTCTTAATACTGCTTACTATATCCACATTGATTGAGGTCCATTTTGGGCACTAAGCTCTGGCAAAGAGTTATCATCCTAACATCTGAGAGTATCTCTGTGAACAAGGGTGGCCTTTGCCAAGGAGGGACAGTCTAAAGTCACTGACAACATGATGGCCAAAGGTTCCCAGGACGTCCACTAGTTCCTTTGTGTGGGCAGAAGTCCTGTGACACCTGTTCCCTCTACATTTCCTACAATTTAGTTCCCTCTGAAAATGCATGATTCTCATTATGGCCGAGATCCAGGAACAGGTGGGAGGGGAAGACTGAATTAAATAGATGATACAGATGATACAGAACAAACTGTGTTCTGACATGTAAACTTAGGTGAGCTATTTAAATTCTGTCTCTGTGTTTTTAAGTGCAGAATCAGAATAGTTTTCACCTCCTCAAGTGATTCCAGAGGTGAAATGAGGTCAAGTATGTAAGGTGGGCTGCATTTCATGGGTGCTCATTTGCCTAACACACTTAGGAAACAGACTTGCATCTTCTGTGGTCTGTCAGTGATACCTAACCTCCTCATCCTTATGTTCTGCTGCCTCAGACTTCCCAGGAAATAAGTTGATGTTCAGCGTTCTGTATTTATAGAGATTATAGTTGGACACCGAATCTCTCGTTTTTGTTTTGTAATGTACGAAAGCATGATGAAAGTCTCTAAATATAATAACTGAATTGATTAAAAAGTGTTCTGAAATTTATCTTGGAATAGCACAAGGTGCTTGGATGTATGTATTTTAAAATTGAACTTGGAGAAGGTGTTTATCATTTTGTGGAGACAAATGGATAAAGAGGAATATCGAGCTTTTGTTGACAACTCATCCCTTTGAAATATTGACACAATTACTTCCAAACTACCCCCACATCCCCCTGACAAAAAAAAAAAATGTACATTCTTCTGTACTTCTGCGCATTAAGGTCTGGCCCTGAGCAATTTAAAGAAGCTTTCATAGGAATTCAAGAGTGAACTATAGCTTGAAATGATAGAAAGCCTCTTGTTCTTCCAACTCCCTAAATTTGTAAAGAAAGACACCCCAAACTAGCAACAGAGATACAAATTTAAGAGTGGTTTCTGCTACTAGAACAGAGTGATATTCATTTTCTCTTTGGATTGTGCTTGTAGTATTTGTAAGCAATATATTTGGACTCTTTCTCTCCATACCATTGTTCAAGAGCAAGGTGGTCTTTCCACAAAAACTGCGTTTGCTATGTCAAATATGTGCCTGTGGCCAATTAACAAAAATTTCCTAGAGCCTAATGAGATAACAGTCATCAGCATCAGTATATGCAAATACATGGGTGAAAGGTTTTTGAAGGATACAGGCAAATGGAAAGCTTTATGTGGGATTAATATGTCTCCCATTTTCCTTGATTCCCTGTTAAATTTTAAATCTTAAAATTTGGGGGCACCCAAGTCACTCTGTTGGTTAAGTGACCTACATTACCTCAGGTCATGATCTTGCAGTCTGTGAGTTCAAGCCCCACACTGGGCTCTGTGCTGACAATTCAGAGCCTGGAGCCTGCTTTGCATTCTATGTCTCTCTCTCTCCCTCTCTCTCTCTCTCTCTCTCTCCCTCCCTCTCCCTCCCTCTCTGTCTCCCTCCCTCCCTCCCTCTCTCCCCACCCCTGCTCACACTCTGTCTCTCAAAAATGAATAAATGTTTAAAACGTTTTTTTAAATCTTAAATTTTGGCAGCAGACTACTTAAAAGGAGAGAAGTTCGTAAGATCTAAAAAATAAAAATTATGGAGGCGCCTGGGTGGCGCAGTCGGTTAAGTCTGATTTCGTCTCAGTTCGTGATCTAATGGTTTATGAACTTGAGGCCTGCGTCAGGCTGTCTGCTGTCAGCACAGAGCCTGATTGGGATTCTCTCTCTCCCTCTCTCTCTCTCCCCCTTACCCACTCACGCTTTCTCTCTCTCAAAAATAAACATTTAAAAAATAAAAATAAATAAAACTTATGTATGAAGCAACTCGACTTCCAGTTCTCCGCAGAGAAATTTATTATAATGATATCCATACTCATTACTTGTTTCCAACCACAGAAGTTGAGATGTCCTATCCGGTCAAGGTCAGCCCCTTCACCGGTGCCTTTGATTTCATCTGCCCTCTTCCGGGATGTATTTGCAGTGAAAAACCCAGTCCTTTCTTTCAATGTTAATATTTCCCTCTGTATTGACTCCTTTCTCTAAGACCATGGACGTGACCAATTCTGTGTAATTCTTAAAAATAATTCTCACGGTATGGGCACCTACGTGGATCAGTTGGTTAAGCATCTGACTTCGTCTCAGGTCATGATCTCATGGTTCCTGGGTTTGAGCCCCATGTCGGGTTCTGTGCTGACAGCTCAGAGCCTGGAGCCTGCTAAGGATTCTGTGTCTCCCTCTCTCCCTGCCCCTCCCTCACTCACACTCTGTCTCTCTCTCAAAAATAAACACTTAAATAATTTAAAATTAGAAAAAAATAATAGTTCTCATGGTTAAAGCTCCAGTTGTTTCCTTTCTCTCCTTACCATCTAACAAAACTTCTTTAAAAAAGGGCTTATGTCATTTTCTTGCGTTCCTCATTTCTCTTTTATATCTTGGTGCAAAGCAGTCAGGTTCTGGACCCTACCATCCTCTCTCTGCCTGCTTCCAAGGGGATCCTGAGTGGTCGCAGTGTAGCCACACTCCATGTGTTGGCCATGGGAAAACCTCATGTCACTGCTCCGTCTGCTGCGTCCAGTTCGGTCACCATCCCCCATACCTGTCAATCTTAATCACGTCCTGTGTGCTGATGACTCACACGCCCATGCATCTCAGTGGACATTTGAGCTCGGAAGACATTTTCATAATGTGGACACGTTCACAATCATCTTTAAAATACATATTGTCAATTCCTAGCTGATCATCTTTCCTCTTAAACCTGTCCTCCTGTCTCCCACAGCTCAGTGAAGAAATGACCATCACCCACCTCACAAACATCAAGTCAGAAACCTAAGAGAAATCTGGAGTCTTTTATGACACTCCTCAACGAAGTGAGGACCAAATCCTGCTCCTTCGATTCTGTAAAATTTTCTGAATCCTACCACCGTTTATTCCCTTTTGTGTGATTATTCAGGTCTTCATCAGTATTTTTAATTCTAACTGTGTTTCTCCCTGACAACCTTAACTGCAGCATGCTTTGCTCTGCTGTCAGAGGCACCTACGTCGACTGTTACACGCAAAGTTCCTTCACTGGGTCTGTATGAGATTGGTATTCCTTGGAATTACACCCAAGGACTTCCAAGGCAAGTAGTGTACGCAGTGATAGCTCACATACAAATATTATTTCACTTCTAGTATCCATTTTTCTCCAAACCCCATGAGTCATTTAAAAAGCGTGTTTTCTAATTTCTAGACATTTAGCATTTCTTTTCTTTTTCAGTTGTGTGTGTGGATTTTAACTTAATTACATCTTAGAAAATGTAGCTTGCAATGAATTTGCTAATTAATTAGCCAAAGACAGAAAATGTAGCCTGCATGATTTCAATCCTTTGAAAGTTTTGAGGCTAATTTAAAGGCCAGACTGTGGCCTGTTTTTCAACCTAGGTTAGTCTAAAAATAATAGGTATCTTCCAATTACTAGGTTTCATATTCTAGACATGTCCAGTGTGTAGGGACTCATCAGTTGTTTAAAATGTTCTCTATTCTGATTAATAGATTGTGCAATTTCTCTGTCAGTTGTTTAGGTAGTGAAAGTACTTCATAATGACAGTTTTTTGTCAAGATTTACTAGTGGCTTTGTCAAATTTTATTTTATGTATCTTGAAGCTATATAATTATAATTAGGAGAATATACTTTATTTTTTAATTTTGATATACATCTGTTTGATTTAACTTTTTATCATTTTATGGAACCCTGCTTTATTTCTGGTACTGCTTTTGCCATATTGCCCAATTTTGTCTGATAGTAATGCATTCCTACCATCTTCCTGTAAGTTGCTTTCTGCTTGTGTATTTTTTCTACCCTTTGACTTTCATTCTTTCTCTTTCTTTATATCTTTATTATATTGCATTAAACGCCAAATAGCTGAATTTCCCAAACATTCATAGGGTGGCAATCTGTCTTTTGCATTTTGAGACTTTAGTCTGTCTACATTAATTATGGTTACCGATATATTTGGACTTACTCTTATTATGTATCTATTTGTCCTTCTTTTTCAATTTCGTTTTCCTTTCCTTTTTTTTTTTTTTTTTTTGTCTTCTTTGGCAAGTAGTTTGTAGTTTGATTTCCTTCTAATTTTCCCTCTACTTGTTGAGTTTTATATTCTATGCCTCTTGTTGTTGATATGTAATTTATATACATTGAATAGTTCAGGTCTTCCTTGTACATTTTGATCATTTTGAAAATGTACCTGTATAATCTATATCCCATCAATGTATAGAACACTTCCATCACTCTGGAAAGCTAGTTCCCACCCCCACCCTCCTGAAATAACCACACAACTGACTTCTGTTGTAGCATAGATTCGTTTTCTGTATTATAGAACTTTGTACAAGTTAAATCATATGGTATACTCTATTTTGTATTGGACTTTTTTTCACTCGGCATGTTTTTGGAATTCACGCATCTCACGTCTATCAGTTTTATGTTACTTTCGAGTTGATGAGAAGTATTCCATTTTATGAATGCACTAATTTTTCATTCTTTGTTCTGTTTTGTTAAAATAAATTCTCTGATCCATGGCTTTCTCTGCGACTTCTAGTTTTTGGCTTTTGTGAATAAAATCGCTATGACTATATTCAAGCCTTTTTGGGGGGTGGGGGGTGAATGTTTCCATTTCTTTGGAAAAATAACGAATAGTGGAATCACTTGGCCATGGGGTAGATGCATGTTTAACTTTTTAAGAAACTGACAATAGTTTTCCAACGCTTTCAACTATATTCATCCTTCTCCCTACTCACATGCTTTATGGTTTAGTATTTAATTTTTATTGTTTTTCTCCTTAAATTTATCAGCCTTGTCATTGTTCCACACAAAATTTGCTTAAATGTATCCACACATTTGCCAATACATTTGTTCAGTATTTATCCTGACATCACTTGCATAGCTTTCATGCAAGATTCTTTCATTTCTTCCTCAATTCCTGACTTAGCCTGTTATTCTCTGAGTGTGGCTAACAATAATATCTCCCACATTTTGTCCTTATGCTGTCAGTATTTTTTCCTCATTCTTGAGAGATTGTTTCTCTCAGGATTTAATTATTGATTGCTTGTGATTTTCTCTCAGAATCTGGAGGCTTCTCTTCCATCGGTGCTGTTAAAGAGGAGCCACCGAAGGAATGAAGATAGTTTTGAAGGTGATTTGCATTTGCTTCTGGCTACTTTTAAGACAAACTCTTTTCCTTCCTGCTGAACAGTGTCAATATCACAGGATTTCCAATTATTGTCTCACATCTTCAAGTGTTGCTTCTCCCCTTTCTTCCTCTTGTCTCATCCTGGGACTCTGAAAAGACTTATGTTGTATCTTCTTCATCTCCCCTGACTTTTAAACGCTGTGTCATATCTTCATTTCTCTGCAATCTGGTAATTTTTAAGACATATTTCCCTGTCTCCAAATTCTCTATCAAACTTCTATTTAATCCATTCATTGAGTTTTAAAATTCAATTCGTTGTATAATATATTGTGCATATAGATACACACACACACTATTTCTATGAGTCTTATTTTGTTGTATTTAACTTGATTTATTTGTAGATTTTTTTGGTCCTTTCATTTTTATTATGCATTTCATTTCCTTAAATGCATTTAATGTAATTACATTATTTGCCTGATAATTCCAGTATCTGAAATCTATGTGTGACTCATTACATTTTCTGATATTTCTTGAGTCTCATTCCAGGGGTGGTGTTTCAATACATACTGTGTGACATTTTCTTGTAAGCAGTCTCTTCTCATTGGAATTGCATCAATGGGAAATTTTTAGGCTTTGGTTAATGTTATCTTTTGATTTGAGGGACTTTTATCTAGTGGCTATTTTAAATTATCTGCTTGGTTATTTTTCAGACCAAACGAGTACTATAAATTCACACATAAACTGGGAGTTTACTGGCTTGCAAAAAATTCTCTGGATAGATTATTTCCTTCTACCCACCTAGTATCAATCTCAGGTCAAATTTGTTTAGTATTCCCTCTGAACAGGAATTTATTTAGTATTTATTCATTTCACTTTTACAATGATACTGGCCCTTGAGGTCCCAACTTTCTAGAAGGGTCTTTTCTAAGACTTCCCATCTTTCACTGAGAGTAAGCTCTTCACCGGCTGTTCCCTGAAGCTCAGGGTCTCCACAGTATAACAAAACACCTCACTGGAAAAGATGGCTTTGATATACACTAATAGTATTTCAGCTTTTACTTTATAAGGAACACAGAATTCTTCCTTTTAGTGTCAGATCATAAATTCATCTAAAAAGATGTTTTTAGGGCACCTGGATGGTGCAGTCAGTTGAGCGTCCCAACTATTAGTTTCGGCTCAGGTCGTGATCTCACAGTTCGTGAGTTCGAGTCCCACATTGGGCTCTGTGCTGATGGCTCAGACCCTTCTTGGGGTTCTCTCTCTCCTTCTCTCTCCCTCCACTGCTTGCGCTCTCTCTCTATCAAAAATAAGTAAGCTTAAAAATATGTTTTTAATATCTTATCAAACAATTTACTTGTTTTATTGGAAGAGCATTAGGTAGTCTGCCACATTGCTAGAGATGAAAGATGTTGGTTTCCCTTACAAGCCAACTCTTTCTCATATTTCAAGACTCAGTTCAGACATCAGGTCTCCTTCCAGGAATCTTTCCTCTGCATCCAGATTAAGAACAGTCCTCTGTTCCAAACATACCTTAAAGATTGCCATTTTATATTTAAATTATCTATGTAACCTCTGCCCCCGTTAGACTGTTGACCCTCTTGGGAAGGAACTATGACATATATTTGTACCTTCAAGAGCATGAGAGATGATGGTAGGGGCTCATTAATGTTGTTAAATTAACTACTTGACTACCCCCCTCACACACAGATCTAAACAGTTCCGACTGTTTTCTGGCTACCTAGTTTCCCTTTGAAGCTTGTAAGCATCCCTTCTTGCATAGATGTTGGATACCACATTCTAGTGCCTTTAGGCCCCCCTCCCAGGTTGTCATCTTACATAGTTACCATTAGTGTATGTGTGTGTGTCTGTGCATGTTTATATACATATGTATGTTGGTCAGAACACTTAAGTTCTATTCTCGCAGCGAATTTCAAGTACGCACCAAATTTCTAATATACCATATTGCACATTAGATTCCAGAATTTATTCATCGTATAACTGACAGGTTTTTCCCTTTGACCAACATCTCCCCATTTCTCCCCTATCTTTGTAGCCCCTGAAAACCACCATTCTAATTTGAGTGTTTAAGATTCCACATATAAGTGAGATCATACAGTATTTGTCCTTCTCTATCTGTCTTAGTTCACCTGGCATAATGCCCTCTAGCTTCATCTGTATTGTCACAATTGGAAGAATTTCCTTCTTTGAATGATATTCCATACACCACATTTTCTTCATCTTTCCTTTTTTTAAGTTTATTTGTTTTGAGGGAGGGAGGGAGGGAGGGAGAGAGAGAGAGAGAGAGAGAACACAAGCAGGGAAGAGGCAGAGAGAGAGAGGGAGAGAGAAAGGATCACTGCCAGTTCAGAGCCTGATGCGGGGCTTGAACTCACTAATTGTGAGATGACCTAAGCTGAAACCAAGAGCCAGATGCTTAACTAACTGAACCAGCTGGGCGCCCCTCTTCATCTTTTCATCTGTCCACAAAGATTTGGTTGTTTCCATATCTTGGCTATTGTTAATCATGCTGCAGTGAATATGAGACTACAGATATCTCTTCACAATACCAATTTTATTTCCTTTGGATATATACTCAGAAATGGGATTGTTGGATCCCATTTGTTTGATAGTTCTATTTTTTATTTTTCAAGTAAGCCCTATCCTGTTTTCCCTAGTGCCCATGCCAGTGTTCACTCCCACCAACACAGAACGAGAGAATATATTTGCAAACCATATGTCTGACAAGAGGTTAATATCCAAAATAT